TGTGTGTGAATGTGTGTGTGTAGGTATGTGCATGTGTGAGTGGGTGTGAGAGAATGTGTGTATGTGTGAGTGTGTATGAGTGTGTGTGAGTGTGTGTGTGTGTGTGTGTAAGAACACTGTGCCACAGCCGCAGGTGCTTCTCTTCTGGGAGCATGTTCAGAGCTCATCAGCAAACTAGGAAATGAAGCTGAGGTGAATGGGTACTTTTAAATTTAAATTTTAAAACTTTTAATTAACATACAAAATATGACTAAGAACTTTTTGAAGTTCAGTGCACTTGAAGGATGGAGGCATTACTTTCTGAATATTTTCATACATTCATGTGGCATGGGCAGAGGATGGGACAGTACACTAAAGACTCATGTGTGAGCCTGGGTCAAGAGTAATGCAAACTTGGCCTAGCCCCATTCTTGAGAGCCTACATGAGCAAGAGGAGGGGAGCAAAGGCTGGAACACAGATGTCTAATGCAAACCCAATGAAACATTTTGAGATGGACACGGGACTTTGAGATCTTTTTTCTGACCTTGAGTGTTTTATCAGGCCACTCTTCTTTTGTGGCCTCTTCATGGCTCATGGGTGCCCACCTGTCCACACTGAGGTCCAATGTCCCCTCCCCTGCTGCTGCTCCCGCCCGTCTTACCCTCTAGTTAGCATCGTCATTAGAAAATGAAAAATCTGTGATTTAGTGGGGAACCGTGTCCAGCTGCTCAAGCCCACCCAGTTTCCATTTTTAGCTTCTACCCTACTTAAAAATAAACAGCATTGGGTCGTGCTTGCCAAGCCTTTGTCATAGTCTCCAGCAGCCATTCCTCCAGCCATCTGCTCCCCCAGATGCTTGGCTGCTCCCTCCTGTCTCAGCTCCCCTGTGGACAGTCAAGGGGCCAAGCTCAGCAGCCTTCAGCTCTGCAGTACCACCTGCCCACACCCCACTGTTCTCTGCCTCACTCTAACTCACATGCTGCCCCCTAAACCTCAGGCACCAGCTTGCTAGCCCGGACAAACTTGGTATTTCCAGGGACAGGATGATGGCTGCAAAAGACAGGGCCGTTTCTATGGAGATGTAAGTCAACATCTCACATCAGGAAGTGCAAACTAGTTTGACAGAAGTTGGTTGAGCTGAGATTCACCTGGTTTGCTACTCTCCTCACTTTGGAAGTAGGTGTGTTAGAGAAGGCTGGGAAGCTGCTGTTATGTTCCCTTCATCAACCCCTTTGGTCTGAAACAGGTGGTTGAGCAAAGGCCTGAGCTTCCTGGTGTTCTGAGACACTTGTGTAATGAAGGTAAGTCCCCTACTGATGGGGGCTGTCCTTCTGTTTATATATTTCTCTTATTGGTTGATGAATAAAACACTGGCCAATAGAGGCAGGAAGATAGGCAGGGCTAGGAGGTGAGGAGAATTCTGGGAAATGTAGGCAGAGAAAGACTATGTGAGGAGATGCCATGTGGCTGCCAAAGGAGACAGATCCAGGCATTCTCTGGTAAGCCAAGACCACATGGAAATACGTAGATTTTTTTAGAAATGGGTTAATAATTAAGACAGAGCTAGCTAATAAGAAGCCCTAGTCATTAGCCAACTGTTTAATAACTAATATAGTGTTCATGTGTTTATTTGGGGCAAGGTGTCTGCGGAATGTGGTGGAACAGAAGCCTCCATCTCCACCCTACCTTTCCAGAACCTGGAGGGTGGGTTATACTAACATGAAAAGAAACTGCAGCACCCCACTCCTTGCTGTGTCTGAGATGCCTGCATGGGGACAGAGTGGTTCTTACTAACTCTATCTCCCCTCCACTCCGCGCTCTGAACCCAGAGGTGTGCGGTGAGGAGGCTAGGACCCGGTGGCTGTTGGATCTTATGGCCTTGTTCATCTGCAGCTAGAGGCACAGGGGGCTTTGCCCACTCTCAGGGTTGGTGGGGCAATCATTCAGAGACTCTAACAACTTTCCAAACATGTCTTGGGGACAGCACCACTCCCAGATATTTGTACACAGTATATTAATGGCATATCCCTTTCATCCTGATAAATTAATGTTAATGAAATTCAAATTCTGTTTGTCAGTCACACTGTTTTTATCTGATCAAATAGGCAACTGGTCTCTCATGGTCATAATTTATGTCTCCTTGATGTACAATGATATTCCTGTCTCACTGACAATTTGTAAGCCTATGAGACAGGAGGATGGATCAGTGAGCTGAGGAAGTGTCTCTATTTGCACCGATAGCTTGCATCCTTGACATAAGATACCACAGGAGCGACTGTTATGCGATGTCAGAGAGTTTGAAGGAAATAAACTTGAATATGGACTTAGAACATTCTACTTATTGGTATAGTTATCTGGACCAAAGGAATATATCCTGTTTTGTTTTTTTCCCTTTTGGAAAGGTTTAGATTGCTCAGAGCAGCAGGTAACCTGGAGAGCTCTTGAGCGAGAGCCTACGTCTGTCTCACCTGAAGGGTGACCCTTCTCTCTTCCCAGTGTGTCCAGGCTGCATGATCTATCCACTTCCTGTGCTTCTGTACCCTCTTGGCCATCAGGCTGACCGCTGGGCACCCGTGTTCAAGTAGCCCTTGTGTAACAGGCAGATCCAACATCTTAGTGTTGAAATGGCCCTCAGGGGCCGTTCAGGCCTGACTCTTCACCCTCCCTTGTTCCTCCTCTGCCCTCCCCCCATCCACTATCCACCCCCAGTCCATCACAGCTGGCTGAACAATCCCATGGAAGCCTAATCAGTCAACATCTCTCTGTTGACTCTTTAAAAAAAATGATTTTAGTGACTTCTCATAAAAGAAGAGCGTCTTTGAGCTTCGCCAGATGCTACTCACTGCCTATGGGTTACAACAATAAAGGAGAAGGGCTGGGAGGGTGATGTCAAGTCCCTCTTGGGGGTCAGGTTCAGGGTGGAGAGCAGGCTGACTGGGTTTGGCTCACTGGGTCAAATTTGTCACAGTGGCCTCTGTACCTACAGGGAATTATTTGGACACATCTACACTGATCCAGACAGCTCGTGGTTTCTTGACTTATCATTCCGAGTTCTTCATCCTCATGTCCTCACCAACCACCTCCCCAGTTGTTGCTAGCTGAGTCAGTACTGCTCATAGAACATGATCTTCTGCTTTAAAATGCAGAAACCACAGTGGACGTACATTCTCAGAAGTGAGCAGCTGAGTAATGATCACTTCCTTCTGGAGCGTCCTTCTCTGCCTTGTCTGACAACACCTCTGATCCTGCTCATAGCCTCCGGGGGCCCTGAGAGCAACTGGGTGTCATCGTTTCTGAGACCTCTGGGCTGGAGAGCTTTCCAGGCCACATCCAGACAGCCAGTTACACACTGTCCCCCAAGTGGCTTATTCATGCAGAGGCCACACTGGTGTGCAGTGTTCAGGAGATCCCTGTTTAAAGTAATCTAGGAAGAGAGTGAGATTGGTATCAGGGAGATGTCCCTCTGCAGTGAGATCTGGGCTTCTGGAACAGCCTGGGGCTCATAATAGACAGAAGGACCAGGCTGGGATTGATTTCTCTAGAGTGAGGAATCCCTGACCAAGTAACAGTCACGGCAGGTCATCACAGCCAGACCCTGCTGAGATTTACCTTCCAGACTGGTCTCTGCCTGTGAAACTCACACAGGTTGTAGCCGTGGGGGCTCTGAATTCATAGCACAGCTGAAGCTGGATGCCTCAGAGACCTATAGGTTTCCAGAGAGCCATTAGGACATATTCACTGACCTTCTAATTGCTTCTCCTTCCCATGGAAGCATTTGTCAGAAACCCTGGACTGTGTATGGCTGCTGTAGCACTACCCCTGGCTCTACACTGAACTCACAGATGTGTTTGTGGGGCTCTCATACCTCCACCCATGGTTGGGGTGACCTTACAGGAGGGCCAACAACAATGTAAGCGTTGAGGTACAAAGGCTTGATTTATTTGGAAAATTCCCAAGGAAATACTAAAAAGGGGCATGGAATGAAGACCCAGGGAGGATAATAGAACTTCTATGCTCACTACAGGCACCGTGATCAGCCACCTTCTTAGCTGCTGCTCTGTGCTGTTGAGAAACTGCATCAGTTCCTTTCTGTGGTGACAAAATGCCTGACAAAGGCCAACTTCAAGAAGGAAGAGTTCATTTTAGGTGTGTGGTCTGAGGGTGCTGTCTATCACACTATAAAAGTTATGGCGGCAGGAACATGAGGCAGCTGGCTACATGTCATTCAGTCAGGAAGCAGAGGTACTTCCGCCAGAGCTCAGCTCAGTCTAGCACTCACATTTAGGACTCTTCTTACTCAGTTGACCCAGTCTAGAAACTCCCTCATGGATGTGTCCAGAGGTTTGTTTCCATGGTGATTCTAAATTCCATTGAGTTGACAATCACAGTGTGTCTCCCATCTACCCAAAGTGTTACCCTTCAAAGCACATCAAGTTTCAGGGGAGCTGGCCAACTTCCTAGAGTCAAGTCCACCAATCTAGAAGGTCACTGTGATTTTGACCTCTGGTCACCTTGGCCTTGGCATGGAGCTGTATTGTGGGGGAACAATTTAAAGTGTCTCAACAGTGACCTGGCTCCAGATGCAGGAGGTAGAGTCTGGACCTGGCCACAAGATGATATTGTGCAGGTTTTATGCCAACTTGACAGAAGCATGAGTAATTTTGGAAGAGGGGGATTGGCCTATGGGGCATTTTCTCAATTGATCGTTGATGTGAGAGGGCCTGGCTCACTGTGAGTCACAGGTGCCACAGTTGGTAGGTAGTCCTAGGTGCCGTATCAAAACACCATGGTTGGTTAGCAAGCCAGTCAGCAGCACTCCTCCTTGGCCTATGCGAGTCCCTGCCCTGACTTCCCTGAATGATGGACCTATAAGCCATAAGGTGAAACAGACCCATTCTCCCCTAGGTTGTTTTTATCATGGTGTTTTATCACAGCAAAAGAAATACCAAGACGGAAGTAACCTTAGCCTTAGTTCTGTTGCCCTCTCAGCGAAATAAACACTTCTGTGCTTCCCTCATAGACCCAATACCTCTCCCCACAAGCTCGCCGTCGGCTGCATGCTCTGCTCGCCTCCTGCTCCACCTCTATGCTGATCCTGTTCAACCTGGTGTTCCTCGGGGGAATTCAAGTTGGAAAAACCTACTGGTACAGGATCTTCCTACAAGGTGAGCACAGCCCTGCTCACTGTCACGTTGTTGTCTTCTCCTTTGCATTCAGGTGTGATTGTTGACTTGGGAGTCTTGGGGAGAGCCATGCATGTGACATGTGACAACCTGGTGTCAGCTGGGAACACCTTCGGCTGCACTGTGACTGCAGAGGTATCTGTTTTCAGGGACCTCATATCGGCTGCCCATGATGCCTGACATCCAAATGTCCCGCACCCTCCAGGCTCTTTCCTTCTTCAATATGTTCCCAAAGTCAGGACTCTGCCTGCACTTTCCCACTGTTCCCAGATTCCAGCCCTAGGTGTGTCATGAGGTCTAATGCATTCTAACCTTGTTCTGTTTGTGCTCTGAATTCCTGCTAGCAACACTTCCTGGATGGCCTTTGTGCTGTTCTGGAGCTGTGGCTCTGGGTCTGGTGTCCAGCTCTGGACCTAAGCATTTGTTTCTGAACATCACCACCCAGTTGTTTTGAAAAGAAAAAGAAGTATTCATGTGTGTGAAGGCACATGTGTGTAGTGGCATATGAATGCAAGAAGTCAGAGGGCAACTTTGTGTAGTAGTTTCTCTCCTCCTGCTTTCCCGTGGGTCTGAGGGATGCAAGCACCTTCACCCACTGGGCCATCTCATTGGCCCAAATTTCATGTGCACTGAGTGGATTGTCTCGGCATCCACAGCAAGGCCAGTCTGCAGCAGGTAGAATGCAAGTGTGTGGCAGTTGTGAAAACTTTACAATAACAACGGATCATTGTTATCTGTGGTCATCACTGCAACCTCTGAACAGTGAGAATAGGATAGTCACTGTGTGTATTGCTGTAGCTGCTTACCATGCTTCCAAATGAAGGGTCCTCTCTTCTATTTCCCCCACATGTGCTTGGGTTTGGGGAGTCCTGGCTGAGCTGCGGCAGTGAGGCTGGACATGACTGGTCTGTCATTTCTGCATCAGGGTCCCCAAGGATCCAGAGATACTTTTGCTGCAGCTCTCTTTTAAGACCAGAAATATTAACCTAACACAACTTCTAGTTGCCTGATCAGTCACAAATATAGACAGACTTTGTGGCTCGGTGGGTTCATTAGGTCCCATATGACTTTAATCTTGTCACTGTAAAAGCCCCTCTTTGACATACTTTCTGGGACATTCAGCTCATGGTTTCCTGCAAAACCTGGAACACATGGAGACTCAGGTTGGGGGTTGGGGATACTGACTTTGGGTTTCTTGTCACCTAATGAGAAGGCTCTGATTTTCACTTCAGTGAATCAAATACCTCAGGTGTTTGCTATTTACAAAACACTGTGAACACAAGGGTGAGTAAAGGAAGCCTGTTGCTGGGTATGGAGACTCCGCCCAAAGTCCTAGCACTTAGGAGGTTGGGGAAGAATGTTTCAGAGTTTGAGGCCAGACTGAGCCACACACGAGACCCTGTATCCGATGGAGAGGTGGAAGAGAATGAATTTAACACAGATAAATATGGAAGCCAAATATAGTTGTTTCCCATGTGACACTTGATTGCGGTAACTGCTGTGCAGATGTCTGAGGGAGCTGCCAGAAGCCATTACAGTAGAGTGACTGGCTTTCCAGGGGAGTGCTGTTTAAGCTAAGCACCAAGCAAGGATTTACCCATGTCCAAGAAGGCTGGAGTGCTGGAGCGACTAATGGTGGCCGCCATAGCAGGAACTCCAAATCTTGGTGAATGTTCACTGTACTCCTCAGGCCTGAGTAGATGGGTCAGCAGGTAGGAGTCAAACCCTCGGCACCCATATAAAAAGCTTGTATGACCACACATGTTCCTGTGACTCCAGGACTGTGCTGTGGGCAGGCAAGGGGGTGGTGGTGTGGGGGGAGGGTGGGAGGCTGGGGATAGGAGGGCTGCTGGGGCTTGCTGGCTACTGACCTAGCCCAGCTTCAGGTTTAGTAAGAGACCCCATTTTATAGGAATAGGGCAGAGAATGGTAGAGCAAGACACCAGATGCTATCCTCTGCCCTCTAAATGCATACAGAATATTCACATACTCATCACATGTGCCCACCCCCACACATACACATAATTTTATTTTTCTCATACTTTATGGAAAACCCAGTACCTTTTTCTAAGCTATAATTGTAGGATTTAGGATGTTTGATGACTGTCCACTGACTGTGTTGTCTTAGCTTCGAGGAAGAGAACAACAGGAGGTCTGTGCATCAGACACTAAATACATTAGGTAGAAATAACATGTGACTTTTCTGTTCATGTCTCATTGGCCAGAACCAATTATGTTACACCTCTGAATGCCAGGCTGGATCTGTGGGAAGCAGGCATGTATTGAATGAATCGGATGTTTATGTCACATGGTCACCCAGATGGAGGTGTCCTAGAGGCTGTGGAAAGTTTAGCTGGATTTGAGAAAGGGTGAAGACTAGTGATTGATAGGTAAATGTCAACTGTTTGGAAACCGGTTGTCAAGGCCATGGGTGTGGACTGAGAGCCAGGAGTAGCTCTGGGGTGTGTTGGTGCTGAAGAGGGCAGAAAAACACCTTCAGAGTGCTCTTGCTGCTGCTGGGGGGGGGCGGCAGGAGGCTTACAGCACCACTTGCCTGGCAGCATGCAGATCTGCCAGTATGTGGGGCCAGCACTTTGCATCCTTCTGTGGTTAGTGATAGGACATAGTGTTTCTGTCCTTGATTCGGGACTCTGATTCTTTGTACACGACTGTGAAATAATTTCTCTTTAGGGTTCTGAAGCCAGGGGTTCTCCAGACAAGCCTGTCTGTTTCATGAGCTGCTTGAGTCAAGGAATGTCTGCTGGGATTTTTGTCTGTTGCCCCCTTTGTCATTCTCTTGCCAAGGGTTTTGCCCCGATTTGCTGAGTTTAGATCTCTCCTGGGAGGAAGTGAACCAGATGGTGCCAAATCTGGTATTCTGGTGAGCCTGGGTGTCTTAAAATTTAGATTGACCTGATAGAGATGGTTGTTATAAATATTCATGCTTAGGTTCAAGAAACAATTAATGAGTTAGTAGTATGCATCCTCAGCTCCTATTGGGTGGGGGTGTTAATAGACCAGCATTCTAAAACTGAAAAAGAAAATCTGAGTTCTGAAATCATCTGGTCCCCAAGGACCCCAGAAGAGCCTGTTGCCCTGTACATGTAGCCTTTGATGGATGAGTCAGGGCCTTGGCAGCCTGACCATCTCTGATCTCTGCCTTTGGGTATAAGATCAGTTCCTGTTGCTCAAGACACAGAGGACATGGAAAGATGTGAGGGGACCTGTCTCTAGGGAACAGAGCATCTTCAAGCTTAGCATCTAGACTTTGAGATTTAATAGAAGTCCCCTCCCTCTGTGCTGTGATGGCTTCGGTACACCTTCAGAGACAGAACCACTGAGTCATCCCCAGAGAGCCCAGCTCAAGGAGTCAAGCCACACAGGGAAGGGACAGACAGTTGCCTGGGGGACAGGGATTATTGAGGGGTTGTAAATACCTTTGTCTTAGTTACTTTTCTGATGCATAAAACACCAGACAATGATAACTTAAGGGAGAAAGGGCCTACCTGACTCATATTTTGAGGGTGCAGGTGCAGTCCCTTATGAAGGGAAGTTGTAGAGGCAGGAACTTGAGGAAGCTGGTCACATTTCAGCCAAGAAGCAGAGAGAGATGAATGTTGTATTTAAATCTGGACCTCCCGTTTATGAAGTCCAGGATCCCAGCCCATGAAAATGGTACCACCCTCCTTTAGGATGGGTCTTCCCCAGTTAGCATAATTGCCATAGTCCTTCCCAGGCATGCCAGAGGTAACCTACTCTAAACAATCCTTCACAAGTACGCTTGAAGGCATGCCTCCCAGTGATACCAGATCCCATTGAGTTGATAATAAACAGTAACCATCAGGCTGTTGTAGACTTTCCCTGGGAAGATATGAATGAATGTCTGTTCGCCCCAGACAGGGCTTGATGGCCAACTGAAGAAATCATTTCACACAGGTCTAGCTTGGTGAACCAGTGAGTTCAAAGTGGTTCCTTATGGTGTGCAGGTTACTAAGGAGCATGGAGACTCAAAGGCAGCTGCACCACTGGACTCTGACTCACAAAAACTACAACCCTGGAGTTCCCCTGATCAGCTTGCAGGCAGCTACAAAGAAGCATCTCTTCCCACCATAGACTCCCACTGCTCCTGTCAGCTTGGGGAGGGCCTTAGTGACTCAACCCTGAGCTTCCTGAGTCTCCTGGGTCTCTGGCTGTGGAGACATAGGAGCCTCCCTCTAGTAGGGAGTATTGCAGTTTGCAGTTAGCTACTGTGTCTCTCAGAAAATCAGCCATTAATGCACACAGATACAAGCTTGCTAATTCTGCAGGGATATGGAAACCACAGGTACACAGTCACCAAATCTAAGATACATGGGTACACTCAGATGCTTGCGTACTGGTTTTTACTGCATAGTAAACACTCACTAATTCTCGGGGAGTTCTTTCTCCACACTGCTGATATCCCAAGTATCTCATGAGGTACTATGGAAGACTGACCCCAAAGTCAGGACCTCCTTGTCTCCAGCACAGTAAACTCAGCTACAGCTGGCTTTGCTTTAAGCTGCCAAGTTCATCATAGTGCTTTCATAGCAGCCTTGGTGGCGGACTCTGGGTGAGAAAGGAGGCTGCAGGACTAGATCTTTTCCTACTGCGTGCCTTCCCCACTCTGGTGAAGAATGGAAGGCAGACATGCCCAGTAAGAAACCAGGGGCTCTGGGTATATCATACACGTAACATTTCTTTCTTTGTTTCTTTCTTTTTTTTCTTCCTTCCTTCCTTTCCTTTTTTTTTTCTTTTGAGACAGGGTTTCTCTTTGTAGCTCTGTAGACCAGGCTGACCTCAAAACCCACAGAGATCCTCCTGTCTCTGCCTCCCAACTGCTGGAGTAAAAGGCAAGTGTCACCTCTACCCAACTCACAAAATATTTTTAACAACAAGACTCACCTCTGTTGCTGAGATAATTCAGCAGAGGTTAAGAAATCTGTCTTCACTCTTTTCCTTTT